TGTGGAATAATGTTCAGACAAAGGTGATTTACACTGAAAGACAATAGTGTTAACACCAAGGTACCCAACTGATGTTGTAATATAAGATAAAACGTAATAAAAGTACATATTATTTATAAGCTATAGTCATTACTGGGTTACAATAATGTTCAGACAAAGGTGATTTACACTGAAAGACAATAGTGTTAACACCAATGTACCCAACTGATGTTGTAATACAAGATAAAACGTAATAAATGTACATATTATTTATAAGCTATAGTCATTACTGGGTTACAATAATGTTCAGACAAAGGTGATTTACACTGAAAGACAATAGTGTTAACACCAAGGTACCCAACTCATGTTGTAATACAAGATAAAACGTAATAAATGTACATATTATTTATAAGCTATAGTCATTACTGGGTTAAATTTTAGTTTTGGTCCAGGGTGTTACTGTACTATCTCTGTGCTCATGTTCATATGATTGTAAATTTATATGGAAGTATAATAATTAATCAAGACTTTAAGGGACATTGTTGCTTAAGTTGTTTATTCTCACACTCGTGTTTAAAGAAGTTTTACACTTCAATCTTTCAATTTGTTGACTTTCAGTAAATTAGATAAAATATATATGGTATTGAGTTTTATAGTATGGGTTAAATTTTGCTCTGCATAATATTGTGTTTATAAAACTTGTAACTAAATTGTACTATTCTTTGTAGTACATTGAAGGAATTTATCAAAAACAAGTTTGAAGGATTGGAAACAGGGACTGTGGAACAAGCTGAGAAAGAGGAACTTATAAAAATCTCTGTCAATGAAAAATCAAAGGAAGAACAGTGGGATTGTGAATCAGTATTAAGTATGTTTGTTTATTTCATATAGGTGGAAGAGTTACTGTGTTACGTAACTGTTGAAAATATAATTCAATACACAAGAATGTTATTGAGTATTCTAGTTTGAAGGATTTTCTTGTAATTAAATTGAATTTTTGGTATTGAAAAACAAATTGTAGCCTAGTTTTTAAAAGTGAAAACAATTTAATAATACAAACTTAAACTATTTAAAGAATGTGTGCCTAAACTAATAGGAACCACAAACAATAAGTTTTTGCTACAACATGCCAGTGATAATTTACAAATAATTGTATCTTTGCTTAACTGATTCTCTGCCATATATGTTGACAGGTACTTACTCTAATTTGTACAACCACCCAAAACTTATTACAGAACCAAAAAATAAGGTAAGTTCCATGCTATTTAGTTTAGTTCTACAGCCATCAACTTTTTTTCTTATTTTGAGAATAAAAGAACTTTCATTGTATTTGTAATCACTGTAAGTTAACCTAATAATGGGTATTGTTTTGAAACTCCTCTGATAACATTATAATTACTTTTGTTACTTGCTTCAAATTGTGGTTTATTTAGTAGTTGGGAAAATGTAGGCTTGGAATTTCTTGTCTGTTCCTGGCCTACAGAGTGCTATCTTCTTTAAGATGTATGTAAAACTTTGTGTTTGCAGCACAGTAAATTCTGCCAAATGAAATTGCAGTACAGCCAGATTTTAACAATTAAAGTGTTGTTAACTTCTATTGATTACATTGTTGGAGAGTTTGATGTAAGTGAACTGTCTTTCTAGATGAAATTTAGAGTTAATTGGAGCTAACTTAAAGCCATTTTTTCTCTCTAGACAAAATGTTAAGTTGATTGGAGCTAACTTAAAGCCATTTTTCTCTCTAGACAAAATGTTCAGTTGATTGGAGCTAGCTTAAAGCTAGCTCTGTTGATGAAATGTTGAGGTAGTTACACTAGCTTGAAGATAATGGAAGAGTTAGTTCAGAAAATTTAAACTTTTTTATAATAAAGCATTTACTTCAAAATTTGGAAAATAAAACTTTGCTCATTTTTTAAATAATTTTTAAGTGTTTGTTAAGCTTTAGTTAGATTAAAACCTAACACAATCTCCAGTAATTTAAGTTTTTGTGTTTGTTAAGCTTTAGTTAGATTAAAACCCAACACAATCTCCAGTAATTTCTTAGTTTTTGTTAAGCTTTAGTTAGATTGAAACCTAACACAATCTCCAGTAATTTAAGTTTTTGTGTTTGTTAAGCTTTAGTTAGATTAAAACCCAACACAATCTCCAGTAATTTCTTAAGTTTTTGTGTTTGTTAAGCTTTAGTTAGATTGAAACCTAACACAATCTCCAGTAATTTCTTAAAGTTTTTGTTAAGCTTTAGTTAGATTGAAACCTAACACAATCTCCAGTAATTTCTTAAGTTTTTGTGTTTGTTAAGCTTTAGTTAGATTAAAACCCAACACAATCTCCAGTAATTTCTTAAGTTTCTGTGTTTGTTAAGCTTTAGTTAGATTGAAACCTAACACAATCTCCAGCATATACTTTACAACAATTCTGTCTTTTCATGTCTTAAAAAAGTAATTTATGATACTTCAACAGTGATAAAAGTAAACCCTAACCAAGATCGTGATATGTTTTTACCAAGGGCCAGCACAAAAAATACTGCCTGTTTTTAATCAGTGAAACATTCTGATGTAACATCTTTTTTTAAGATAAATGTACAAACCAATTTTCCTTAGGTCATCAACTATATGGAATTTTGTGATTAGCCACACAAATACAGACCAAATTAAATGGTACTTCTAATTGAAAATAACTATTCTTGGAATAATTTATTCAATAGTTGTTCATTGCTAACTTTTTTGCTTCAGGATTATTATTTGATTTTTCATTCTAACAATTATCAACTGTATTATTATCACTGGCTTCTGATCAAAGTAAGCTACCTACATAAATGAGAACTCAAAATTCAGTAATAGCTAATTTAATATACTTTTCTAACAAGATGTATACAAAGTCATAAACAAACCTTATCATGAATAGAATGCAGTTTCATTAGTTGGGTAACCTTGGTAATATCTTATGATGTTTGGACACTTTAAGAGATTTATATTAGTCCTAAGTCTTTTTTTTGCCATTACATCCTTAATCCCAACTAATTGCAAAGTAATCCTCATAATAAGAAAAATATATACGAAATATTTTGATCAATACTGTTAATGAAACTAACATAGAAAAAATGTATTTACTTAAGTTGAATTTGTAATAATCATATTTATGGACTTTTATTTATAATTGTATATATTTTAAATCAGTAAATAAAAATTTTATAATAATGCAATACTAATAATTTTTTCAGCCCAAACCAATTGTGGTTTCTGAGAGGTCAGGTGTCCCAACAGATGTGTTTGCCAGCAATAAGCTTACAAAAAAACACCTGAGGCAGTTAAATGAAGAGAATCATGACGATGTTTCCAATAGTGAACAAGAATTAAGAGTGATGTCTGTAGCAAGTAGGAACTCTGTTGCAAGTACAATTAGACCTAAAAATGAAACACCTGAAGATCGCAAGGCCCGGAAGTGTGCTGTGAAGCAGTACCAGAAAGTAGGCATGGTTTTTTTTTGTACTGTATTTGAATTGTATTAAATCCATTTATAGAAGAAAATTTCTTAGTTATTAGTAGTCTTAATGTTACTAACTTCTTCAGGTATAGAAGGAAATAGAATTACAAGTTGTTTTTTGTGTGAGCTTTTTCAATATTTCAGTCAGTTAAAAGAAGTTAGTGTTGTTTGATATAAGAATTGCTTAAAAAACATAGAAACTAATTCACTTTTCTATTACATGCATTTTATTTAAAACTGTAAGAAAAAGTATAATTCTAAATCTATAAGAATATAATAATACTGTCTGTCGTCTGTCCACGTAACTACTTTGCAGGGTGTGGAAGGATCTTCACCAAAATTGGTATGAACATTCATTAGGTCCATGCGTGGGTACTTACAAGTTTTGTGTTTTGCAGTTTTTGTTATTTTTTTACCATTACTTTGCCCTCTATAGATGGATCATCACCAAATTTGGTACGGAGGTTTATTGGGTCGATGGTAAGATACACACAAATATTCAGTTTTGCATTTTACGGTTTTTTACCACTACTTCGCCCTCTGTTGATGGATCTTCACCAAATTTGGCATGAAGGTTTGTTGGGTCTATGTGGAGATACATACAAATTTTCAGTATTGTGTTTTGCAGTATTTTCTTATTATATAACATTTATTTAGTGAATCTCCTTCTTTGACATAAGGTAAATTTAGTTAGGTTTAGTGAATACACAAGTGACAGTGAACTGTCTGGGTGAAATAAAACATCATTGTCAAGTTCATCATATTGAAACAATACACAAGTGACAGTGAACTGTGTGGGTGAATAAAACATCATTCTCAAGTTCATCATATTGAAACAATACACAAGTGACAGTGAACTGTCTGGGTGAAATAAAACATCATTGTCAAGTTCATCATATTGAAACAATACACAAGTGACAGTGAACTCTCTGGGTGAAATAAAACATCATTGTCAAGTTCATCATATTGAAACAATACACAAGTGACAGTGAACTCTCTGGGTGAAATAAAACATCATTGTCAAGTTCATCATATTGAAACAGTACACAAGTGACAGTGAACTCTCTGGGTGAAATAAAACATCATTGTCAAGTTCATCATATTGAAACAATACACAAGTGACAGTGAACTGTGTGGGTGAAATAAAACATCATTGTCAAGT